TTTTTTCTGCTGTCCACTGAACTTGCTCTTCTGTGTTACCAGGAATCTTTCCACGACACTTTCAAAGCCTTATTGATAGTGAAGCTTTCGGCCGTTGGCCCTGTTGCCTGCTACTCCCAGCTAACTCCATTCTAGGTTGCATTTCTGGGTTTGCTTTTTTCCTCTTATGGTGATTCTCCCCCAGTCTCCTTTATTAGTTCCTTGTTTTCTGTCTGGATTTTTTTTTTTTTTAAGATTGATTTATGCGCACAGAGCTGGGGTACAGGCCAAAGGTGCAGAGGTGGTGAGAGGCTTCACCAGAGACAGAGTGGGGAGCAGAACAGGCAGATCGACAAAGTACACTGCTGAGGGGAGCAGCAGGCGAGGCAGGGGAGGTCTGCTGAGCTGTGTGGGTCACTTGGGGGTGGGGGGATTGAACTTGCATCTAAGCAGCCAGGCCAGCTTCACAGTGCTGTGCCTTAACCTGTTGTGCCACCAGGGAGGGCCTCTGCCTGGAATTTTTTAAGAATAGTTTTCTTACTCTGTTTCACCTGAAATTTCATCTGTTTCCATAGCTTCAGATAACACTGATTCACCAATTGTTAGTTCTGAATGTTAGCATGGAAACTCAGACTGCCCTTCAGCCACACATCTCTAGACACTCTCATTTCCCAGCTGGACATGACCTGTCGCTTCTGTCTAAGTACATTTAAAGTGGAAACTTGTTGCTTCCTTTTTCCTACTCTTTTTTGGAAATCTCTCTCTAGGTTAATGGGGCCATTAATCTGCTGGAGATGTCACTCTGTTACTTTCACAATCCAATTATTTTACAAATACTGTATGTTTCACCTAAATATTTATGAACTCTACTGCTTCACTTTCATCTTTGTTGCTTCTGTCTTAGCTTAGATGCTGCTCTGGAACATTGGAATACAACCTTACCCCTTTTCCTGTCCTTGGAACTTTCACCCTCACATGAATGCCAAAGTCATCCTTGAGAAATACACAGTTATATTGGCTGCTGCGTATAGGGTAGAGCTGAAATCACTGGGCTTAGAAAGCTGGTCACTTCCTGCCTTGTCCCTCCTGTGTTTCTCATGCTGTGTTCCAGGCTCTACAATACATTCGCCTTTCGTGGTTCTGAGCCCTTTATTTACTATTCCCACAGCAGCGAGTGTTCTTGTACCCACTTAAATCAACTCAGTGGGCTTCTTATCTTTCAAGGTCAGCTCAAAAGTCACCTTGGGAAGCCTTCTGCCTTCAAGTCAGCTACTGTTGAATTGTTTATGTCACATTCTAGCTCTTATTCTCTTTGTAGTAATTTATTTAAACACTTCTCTTGCGTTGCTGGAGCCAAATTTGTATACACATATCCTCTGCAGCTGTCTTAAACAAAGATTAATTTCTCATTGGGTGAACGGATCTTAACAAAAGCCAAAGGTACAGAATTAAAATCAGGATCTCAGTGGTTAAACTAATGGTGTGTTTGCTGGCTGGGTGTTGAACCTTTTTGCTTATTTTGGGTGAGTAGGGGCTGTGGATTGAGAACATTAGTGCTTATGTTTAGGATTTCTTTAGTAATTCAACTTTGGAGAGTTATGTTTTAAAGGTGAAGCTGCAAAAAAGAAGTGAGTGGAGCTGCATTTTCAAGTTATGGAGCTAATCAAGTTGTGAAGGGTTAGAAGTACACTGGGTTTTCAAACAAGTGTCTGGATTGCTGGATGTCTTGTGTCAAGCAGAAGAGACTGTAAAGTGAGAAGGGGATGTACCTCCAGTGTGGTGGGTAGCTGTGCTCCGCTTGTTACATATACCTTAACTGCTGTCTTTGGGTAAAGGCCTTTGTTGACAAGTTTGCTGTCAAAATGGTTCTGGTAGGGCCTTTTAGAAATATTAGTGGTGGTTTTAGAGGATGGTCGGGGGGAAAAAAAGAAGGGAGATCATGGAGGGTAAAGTAAGGTGAGGAGGCCTGTTTTCTACACAGTTGTTTTTTTCTGGTCCTCAGACAGCTGTAAGGTACCTCTCCTGTTCTTAACCTGTCTGTCCCTTCACTTCTCATCCAGACACTGCTCTATGGAAAGGCAGTGTTAATCTGACATTCAGACTGGGTGCTACATTTACTTACTGTGTCATCTGGGCAAGTCACATAACTTCTGGGCTTCAGGTTCGTTCTCCTTTTGTGAAAGTAAGGTGCATGAATTCTGAGATTCCTGTTGGTGCTAATCTGTACTCTATAACAGCCTCATTGCTCTCGTGCTCAACCAGTCGTCTGTAGGGTGTTGCAGAGGAGTTAGCAAGGTCTTTGTTTCTGTGTTGGAGGTACTGGGCTTTGTAATAAGTGCTTTCATTTCTTTAATCTGTAAGGCAAGGCGGGTGTCCTTCCCAGGTTGTTAATAGTAGCATCTATTCATTTAAAATGTGTCAAGAATGAATTTAAGCACTGTGAGTCTGTAATGTGTTTTATTCCCTGTCCCAGGGGAGCTGCCCGCTTTGCTGTGCCCTCCCTGTACCTTTCTGTAGCCCTTATCATGTGTGTTGTAATTATTTATCTTTTCAACTTCCCTGCTTGAGCCACTAACTGGTGTGGGGAAGAACTTCCAAGTTCTAAAGGGCTTAAGAGCAGCATCTGCTGCAAAGGAGGAACTCAGTAAGTGTTTCATATATGTAATTGAAATGCAAGTCATACATTTAAAAGTAAATACTGGCTTGAATGTATAATGCTGAAAGTGATCTTTTTGTAGTTTTCAAAATAGGCATTTGTTTTTAAGAGCTTTGCCCTAATATTTCAGATTATAAACTTTATTTTTAGATTATTGCTTTTTTTATTATGGATTCTCTAACACCCTTTATTCTTCCTTTCCTGGTTCCTACTTGAACATCTCTATATCTGGGGTCACAGAGCATATTTTATTTTCTACTTTCCAACTTTGCCTGCTTATGTGCAGTTGTGCAGATTATTCTGGACTTAAGAGCCTCAGAGAATTTAAACTGTGTTGATGTGCAATCAGAAGGAACTTATGCATCAGAGTTGGGTACCGGTACAGCTTTTCTCTTTTGCTGGTATCAGGTGGTCACAGGCCTATGAAGTGTGATCTGTTAGTTGATTTTATGGGTGAGTGACCATCATCTTTTTGAAAGAGTCAGAAGTATATATAGACTTTCATGATAATTGTTACATGAGAAGATTGGATTCTCTGTAAAATCAGTAGAATAAAAGGGTTTTGGAAAAAGTGCTTTTTAGGTTATTTTAGGGTTAAGCCAGAAAATTGTACTTGCTTTTTTTCTGATGGGTCATCTAATTGAGACTAGGTGAATAAATATGGAAGAGCTCAGGAACTGTTTCCATGACTCTTCTGCAACTTTGAGAAAAAGTTTGTTGCCCCTATGTTTTTGGAGCAATAACTGACCCATCCAAGTATATGGATTCTTTATATCTTACTTACATTTTTGTCCCCATAAAGTAGGAGGTAGGGCAGTTTTTAAAATTAAGAAATTAATGATTCTGGCTTTAAGATAACATTTCTGCTTATACACCAAATCACATATACAAATATAGGAAAGATGTGCCCTAGCCCAACCCCAGCAAACTCCTTTGGACATTTAAAAAAACTGAGGGTAAATTTCTAATTTCTCCTTGTAATGGAACAAGACTGTCAAAATATGGCTGTTTTGGTTTTCTTAGGACAGATGTAATAGATACAAATCTTTGTGAACATTTCAACCCATGTAGTCTGTGTATTTTAATGCGCTTTAAAATCTTCCTGGAAATGAATAGTGTAGATGGCACTGGATCTGATTTGTATAATCTCTGCCAGTAACCCACTGAGTAGCCAGATATGTGTTATTTCAATTCTTCATTCAGTTTACCTAAGGAAACAAGGGTGTTAAAATAGAGGGAATGCTGAGTGGAAAACTGCATTGCCTTGGGAGGCAGCTGCTTTTGCACCATCTCCCCAACACTACTGGTGTTGGCTTCAGAGACAGACCAAGTAGGTATAAATTCTGGCTCTACCACTTATGGAGTGTATGAGTTTGGAATTTGTATTTAAATTCACTGGTTTTGCTTTTTATCCACTCTATTAATGGCTTGTTTCATTTCCGTATCATAGCCTTGCAAAACTCAGTTTTAATTCTTTCAGCCTTTGTTCAAACAATGAGTTTCAGGTCTGTCTTATAAACAGGATCTTTTCTATAAGTCAGCAGAGGGAGGAGCTGAGCAATAGTAGCAGAGCAGGAGTTTAACCATAATGAAGAGAATAGGTACCTTAGTCTGCTTGGGCTGCCTTGATAAAATAGCATCAAGTGGCTTGCTTAAACAACACAAATTTCTTATCTTACATTTTTGAAGGCTGGAAGTTCAAGATCAAGAGGCTGCATGGTCAGTTTATGGTGAGGACTTTATTCAGGCTTGGAGATGCCAAGTTCACTCTGTATCATCATAGGCCAGGTCTGAGAGTGCATGAGGGACAGAGCAAACTCTGGTGATTCTTCTTAGGAGTGCATTATTGTCATCGTGATGGCTCTGCTCTTATAGCCTCATTTAAGTCCAATTATCTTGAGAAGGCCCACTTTAGGGTGATGGGATATGAGAAGAGACATGAATTTGGTTAACTTAAAAATGAATATATCAATCTATAGTAGTTTATAAATAAAGATGTTTGGATTTTATGTTGTATTGCTTTTGGTGTCTGTTGTGATTAAAATGAAATAAAATAAAAATAAAGGCAGAATTGAGCAAAAGCCCATAGCAAAGCAAAAATGATACCTGCAAAAGTTGAAGAATATTCCTAGGGATGGTAGAACTATAAAAACGGTAATAGAATTGCAGTTGTGACATTCAGTTGATTCTACAGCCTGTCCTTCATTAGTTGGTGTAACAGGCAGCAGAAGATGACTTTTCTTTTGACCCGTGTGGATTTTCTAGCTGAGGAATGAAGTAACTTGGAATCAAGCTGGGCTTTTCGACTGAGCATGCCCTTCTTCTGCAGGGTTCGGCTTGGGTGGGGCCCGTCTTGCTCATTAAGCCTTTGGAGGCTGGATTCCCATCAGCTTTCCAGTCTTCTAGTGACAGAGAGCAGCAGACAACGGACTCTATGTACTTAAAAACCCACGTATGTATTTAAGGGGGAGATCTGGAGAAAATCCCTGTTGTGACTGTTGGATTTTGTGATACATACTTGGTTGTTTTTGCTCTGGAAGGAATTTTTGCTTTGAGCGCGTCAATAGTAAGAATACTGAAAGTTTGGAAAATGCTAAACTATAGAATGGATGGAATCTGGGTTTATATACTGTTTGGCAAAGGAATATGTTCAGTTATATTTGAAGCAAGCCCTATGGGAAGAGAAAATTCTTTTGGTGGTCAGAGTTTAGTTTTAGACTACTTGTTTTCATTTTTAAAGACAAACGTTGAATTTTGTCAGCTGATCTTCAACATGGTTGCCTTTTCAGTTTGACCAATGAGAATAATTAAGCAAATTGCTTTATTTCATGTACTTATTCAATTGTTACCAATTCATTTATCCAGGGATATAGTACACTATGTTAATTATTCCTAAAGCACAAGGGCTGTGTAAGATTAATCGTGTGGGTTTTTTAAAAACAAGTTAAAGAATGACAGATTTCACTTTGACTTATAAAATGCTTTATTTCCATGTTAAGTTGTTAGATTGAAATAAATTGTATTGTAGCTAGCAAGAGATTTGATTTCATATTTCTGTATCAGCCTCCCACCCCTCCTTCAGAAAGAATTCTGCTTCAATGCTACTTTCTAACAAAATGAAAAGCAGTTGCACTGCACTTTGGATGATCTCTGCAAGTTCTTTATTGTGGACTCTGCAGGGAATACTCTATAGTTCGCAAATAAGTACTGGGTATTTTTTCTTTTTCTTTTTTCTTGGAGGGGTGTGTGTATGTGTTGCACATCTTCTTGGGAAGTTTAAGCTTTCTGTTTTTAGGCCCAACAAAGAATTGTCTCTATGACTTATTGGCAATAGGGGTGTGGGAATAACTCTGGAGGTGATGCAAATGCTCTGGGTAGCCAATCATAGGCCTCCCCCATCCTTGTAATATTCTTGTGCTCATTCTGATCCATTGATGACATTATATTTGGACATAGCTGAACTTTCACAAAGCAAGTTGGAAGGGGAAAATTTAAACTTTGATGTTTGTTTTGCTTGAATTTTTTGATAAGCTCTGAAATACGATGCTTGACATATTCTCCAGCAGGATCCTCTACTAAATCATGTTCTATAGCTGCTGAATTTTGAGAATCTTACTTGCAAAGAAACAAATGTATTTAACTGCATAAAAACTTGTCCTTGCCAGGATCACCTAATTTGAAGCTCTTAGTATGTAGTTTTGAACAAAGGTAGTGCTGGAGAGTAGGAATCTTTAAAAAAAAAAAAAAAATTTCAAAATATGCCTGTATAGCTTTTCTCACCTGGGGAAAGATGCTCTCACCAGGAGGGTCTCTGTGCTAATGAGGGTCACCTTCTGGTGCCAGGCCAGTGGCTTGGAGTCAGCATTTGGATCTGCTTCCCAAAGTTAGAAAAATTATTCAGTTTATCATTTCATATTTTAAGACTATGCACTGTGTGTCGATGTAACTCTTGATAATGCTCAAAGTATTTAACAGAATAGAACAGAACACATGATTAAAAATTAAAAGGTGAATTATATTTTTTGACAATGTGTAGATGTCTATGCCTGTCACCTACCATGTTCCACAGCTGCAGAGAAGGGGATTCGGAAGCGTGAGATGACACAGGCTCCAGCTCGTGGCCATGTCATAGTGTGGGGAGGTGATTAACTTCGACAAGCTTTTTTTGCCTTGTGACCTAGTAAAACGCAATGTCTGCAGCCTGTGCATTTATCTGGTACAGTTAGCCTTGGTGGATCTGTTGCTAGCTTATTTGGGAAAAGCCTCCTGAACCACTGTTATTTTGTTAAAGAATTTAGAATTTGATTCACACAGAAATAGAATTAACTGACTGTAAATTACCACTTGATACTACCTGAGTTTTCTGATGGATTGGCTGAGGATCCTCTGTATAAAGTGTCCACACTGGTGTATCTTAAGACCAAGGGAGATAGTTGGTGTTGGCTGTACTCTGTTTTGAGCCTAGTTATGATGTCATTGGAAGAAATTACACAGTGTATTTTTCTTTTCTATAGAGCATATGATAGTGATCCAAATAAATGTTCCCAAAAGACTGGGAACATCACAAAAGGCCTTTACTGAGAAGCCACCGGATGCCTAGTACTGCACTAGGTACACGTCGTTATGCATCTGCACAAATGTTTCACCCCCTTCATGTGAGCAGTGGAGCAGCTGTGGGGCAGGGAAGAGGTGTGGACAGGAAACATGACATCCTTGTGCTTGTCAAGCCAATTTTTTCCTGCTTTTCCTTGTGAATGAAGAGGAAGCTGCTGACAGAGATTGGGAATGTTTATATAGGACCAGCTTAGAACTTTAAAGAGAATCTACCACTCTGTTTTCTCATCTTAAAAAATTTCCTCAACTTTCAGAGACATCTATTTCTAAGTACCCTGTTCTCACTCCTCCAGCAGGGAGTAGAAATAACTTTGTTCCTAGCTACATTTGCACTGATATAATTGTTAACAAAGGCACCTTTTTATTTCAACTTCACACTGAGGGGAAATGGGTGAAAAACTACCAAACCTTTCTCAGGAACTCTGTGTGTGTGTGTGTGTGTGTGTGTGTGTGTGTGTGTGTGTGTGTGTGTGTGTGAGAGAGAGAGAGAGGGAGAGGGAGAGGGAGAGAGAGAGAGAGAGAGAGAGTTTTAGAGATTCTATGTTGTAGGAAGGTTAGTTTATAAAGTATATTGAATTGAAGACTAGCAGAAATAGGGTTTTTTGAGACTGGTAGGAAACCTGTTTTATGTTAATGATACTGTTGAGCTGGAATATTGAACAGGCTGGAAAGCTCTTGTATCTGCATTGGTCATTTGTGTGACTATGGGCACACAGGGCAAGGTGACACTATCTCTAACAGCAGTTGTGGCATCTGTTACAGGATTTCTCCAAAGAAGTAGCCCAGCCAAGCTGGGCTCACTTAAGCTGTAAGCCATTTTAATGCATAAATATTGTCATCTTAAAGTATTTAAGTGCTTCAGTTTGTATATACTGCTTAGTGGAAACATTATCTCCCATATCTGTACCTCATCTACCCCGGTGTCAACCACCACTCTCCTAGAATCATGGTTTTTACTTTTCTGTATCCTATTTTATGCATATACAAGCAAATATGTACCCAAACAGTCACATATTTCCATCTCCCACATACTTTCCTTTTAAGCCATATGGTGGCATAACACAAAATGCTGCCTGAATCTCCGTGTTGTTTTTAGATGTCACTTAGAGATATTTCTGTAACAGGGATGGAAACCTTCCTCATTTTTTCCTTTATCACTACCTGGAAGTCCATTGTAGGAATATAGTATAATGAATGTAGCTCGCATTGATGGACATTAACTTACTGTTATTATAAATAGTCTAGTGGGAATCACCTATATGTAATTATTTTACATATGTGCAAATCTGTCTGTAAAAGTACATTTCCCACAAGCAGGAATGCTGGTTTAGAGTGTGTCCATTTGGAATTTTGAGAGTCGTTGGCAGTGGACTCGCACTGGGCCTGTACCAATTTATTCTTCTAGTAGCAATTGTGTGAGAATGTCTCTGTTCTTATAGCCTTGCGCAGGGATATGATTACAGATTTTTTCCATTCTGAATTTTTAGTTTGCATTTTTTTTTCTGAGTATGGTGAGCATCTTTTCATATATAATTTTTTTTAAGATTTATTTATTTGTGCATGCAGAACTGGGGTACAGGCCAGAGGCTCAGGGGCAGCGAGAGGCTTCACCAGAGACAGAGTGGGGAGCAGCACAGGCAGATTGACAAGCACACTGCTGAGGGGAGCAGCGGGCGGGCCAGGAGAGGTCTGCCACACCGTGTGGTCACCTCCGGGGCAGGCGGGAATCGAACCCATGTGGAAGCTGCCCTAGATTCTCAGTGCTGTGCTTTAACCCACTGCTCAGGGAGGCCTCTTTTCATACGTTTTGTAGCATATTTGTTTTTCATGTAACTATTCGTCCTCTAGCTATCTTTCTCTTTTGAGTTGTGGGTGATCCCAGCAAACTTAAGAATGTGGTAAAGAACCAGGACTTTTGGGGCTACTAATTACTTGAATTCAGCTAGTATACAAATATGTCACTAGTAAGTACAATTAGAAATGATAATGATGTGCTTTTCATAAAGCATAATGCTTATTTGTATTTTATGAGTGCTTAAAAAACATTTCCCGTGAACAACTTACTCAAATCAATAATGGTAGTTTTTAAGAAAACCATGTTGACTTTTTAGACTAGCAGTATTTGTGGTTCTAAATTACCACAGTTGTTGAATTAGTGACAAGTTGTTTTAGTTTGTATTTATCGCTATAATCCTCTCTGTGGGATCAGGGTTCTTGCATCTCTATCCCTTTTTTTTGGTGTGTGTGCTATAAGGACTCATCAGAGGAACAGCTAAGATACTCCTGTGACCCACATCCTCAAATTTGGGCGAAATTTACTTGGTACATGTTGCTAGTAGTCGTAAAGTCTCAGGTGGTAGTAGGAATTTATTTTTACTTTTCCAGTAAATCATGATCTCTGAGGGAATTTTGTTAGGTGCTTTTTATACATTTCTTGAAGAGTGGTGGCAAGATTGCACAATGGTTTTGGAGAGCCTGGCTTTGAACCCTGGTTCTTCCATGTACTGGTTGTGACTTTAAACATATAAGAATTACATATATATATTTTTTTAAGATTTATTTATTCATACAGAACTGGGGTACAGGCCAGAGATGTGGAGGGTGAGAGAATTCAGTAGGGACAGAGTGGGGAGCAGAACAGGCAGATCAACAAAGTATACTGCTGAGGGGAGCAGCGGGCAGGTCAGGAGAGGTCATGTGGATCACCTCCCAGGCAGCGAGCATTGAACTCATGCAGCAGTGGCATAAGAAGCTTCTTACTGCAGTGCTTTAACCCACTGCACCACTAGGGAGGGCCCAAGTTACATATCTTCTTACATAAAACTTTTATATGTGTTA